CTGAGCGCTAACAATGTACACGAACATCATAAATACGTGATAAAAGTGGATTCAGGCAAAGTAGAGAATCTTGGGATTTCATGCCCTTAAAGGTCTTCAAACGTCCAGGGGTGGCTGTCGGTGACCCCGCTGGTCTCTGGAGCCACCGCGGATGTAAGCAGGTCTTCACCATGGACGCTGGGATTCCTCCCTTCGGGGGCTGTTACAGTCTCGTGTGGATGTTTCTGTGGGAGAAGTTTCTAGAAAGATGCCCGGGCTACATGTATGCCCACTGTCCCTTCTAGCGCGGATTCCCAAACTGGGCACGGCCACTTCTCAAAGCTGCTTGTCCGGGCCAGACCGCAGCGGCCAGGGGGGCCGTTTCCCTCTGGCGCCCCGTCTTCAAGCCTCACCCGGCTGCCAGCTGTGTGCGGACTCCATGCAAGCCGCCATCACCACGTCGTACCCCACGTAATGGCGGTGGGGGGGGGGTCTCCTCAGAAGCTCGGGGTATGAGAAGGAGGCAGACCCGGCTATTTGTAGGGGATTCTAAGGGACGTTCTGGTGGAGAAACATACAAAAAGAAGGCAGCAAACACGACTGGTTGAGTAACAGGAGGAGGTAATAATTTTGAGTCCACTGGTGACGGCCATTTGAACCCAGCCCAAAGCCAGGCCTCAGGGACACCCGCCTGGTCCTGCGGCGAGCTGGGTGCCAGGGAGCTGATTTACTCAAGACTCCATAAAACCCCGGGACATAAAGGCCCACTGCTTTCAGACCTGTCATCAACAGGATGACACAAAGAGGGAAAGACAGAAAAGAAAGAAAATCCAGCTCTATGGGTCCGGCAGGAGCGTGGCCCCGTGAATGGTGGCAGCAGCGGTGGGCAGGGGCCTGGGGCCCCAGAGAACGTGGGTCTGACTCTGGGCCTGAGCGAGACCCCCAGGACCCCCCTGCAGTGTTGGCCAGGGGGAAGCTGCTGGTGAGCAGGGCCATCGGCGCAGGGCTCCCCTTGGGCAGGGCGGACAAGGGCTCCGTGAGGAAGGCTCTGTGCCCGTGACCTCAGCAATATCCACCTTTTCCGGGGGAAGGGAACCAGCTCTTAAAGAGAGAAGGCCGGGGACAGTCTCAGATGTCAGGGTGCTTCTGCCGGGTTCAGAGAAATATTTGACCAGTAAGCACCACATTTTCTGTATCCAACTCCATTCCAAATGCTAAACGCTATTTATTTGGAAGGGCTGAGTGGGGACGGGGCGTGGCAGTTTTAAAAGCACCCCAAAGCTGCTGCAAACAGCCAAATGAATTCATCTCCAGGTGACATTCTCAAAACGTGAAGTTGTTTTCATAAAAGAAAACGACTTTGGAAAAGGTAGCATATAAAATGAAAAGTGTGCATTGTCAGGGATCTCATGTGATGGGCAGAACAGAAAAAGTCCCCAGCTCTGAATTTTCTAGATATACTTAAAAAATTAAAATAAAAGGGGAGTAAACATTCTTAACTGGACCTCTTACAAGGTCACTTTTTTTTTTTTCCTAGAATTAGGGCAAATAAAAAAAGAAACATCTAAATCTGATGTTCAAACAACTCTGTCCAGCGTGATCCAACCCTCGCTCCTTAAAAGCACATTTATAAGTGCCCCAGATCCCCCGGCTGGTTCCTCCCTTTCTTTGCTCCTGCTGGGCCTGAAAGGCCCAGAGCTCCTTCCTCCGTCCAGCAGTGTTCTGTCCAGAGTGAATGTGGATGCTCTTTCTCAAATCAAACAAACTTTTTGGTTGGTTCTATCCTGTGACCTTTCATGTCCCAATCCTAAAATAACAACATACACATGTGGAAAGACTTAAGAATTTTTTTTTTTGAAATGATCATTAGGATTTTATTACATCATAAACTCAGCCTATAAATTTTCTACAACTAATCGCTGAAAAGAGAGCATGATTTTTTTTCTTTGTATCTCTATTTTTAACTTTATTATTTTTTTAAGACTTAAGAACTTCTCTGTTATAAGGTGGAAGATCATCTCAGCCAGACCCAGAGACCTGGCAGAGATATGCAAAGCCAACAGGCTAATGAAGTAATCCCTGAACCAAAAGCTTGCACCTTGAGGGGCTGAGGTAGGTGAGCCCAGGGAGGGACTTGGGTGGAATATGATCGCCTGGCCCTCTGGAATTTCCTTAGGAATGCCAGGCCCAGAGGATGGGGACGTGTGGGTTGGAAGAAGCTCCATCCCCTCCTCACAATCAAGCCTCCTTCCAGCCCCAGGCCAGGAGTACCCAAGTAGGGAGAGGCCTGGACCCTTCATTTCCTCCCTTCTGGGTAAGCCCTCGCCGCCCCCCGCCCAGCTCCTCTGGTAGGAGCTACTCTGTCTCTCTGGAGTCTGCAGCACCAGGCTCCGCTGGGAAGGCAGAGACACGGCAGGGGGGCGCCTTCCCATCTCATTCCCGGGTCACCAAGAGATGCTCTTAGTGCTGCAGGCTCTGGGTGCGGAACAGGATCAAAACAAAGGCTCGGTGCCCCCCTGCTCTGGTTCCCATGCTTTGATTGGCCTTCATAATCTTGCTTTTAGGATCTGATCTAAATTCTTGGCTTTGATCATTAATCTTATCATTTTTTTGGGGGGGGGTCTGGCTTAGAAAGTTTAAAATGCTCTTTGCTTTAAAAAAAAATGGGGTTAATTTGACTGCTTCACAATGGAACACCTTCTAATTCCCAGATTCAATCATCTATTCCCCTGGAGGGCTCTGGCTCTGGGATGAGCTGCCTGTGGCCGTGAGCCTTATTTGTTGGTTGTAAGACAGGAGAGGAGGAATATTCCCCATTCAGGTCCCTATGCTCAGTTCCAAGTGCACAAGGTCACCTCATTTCTGCAATCAGTTATTTTTCTAAACTTAAAAGCCATAAACTGAGCCATTATATGATTTTGAAACTTGGACACTGTTAATAGCTTTCCCTACTAGGTTGGAGACACAGAATATAAATGTCATAAACATAAAGATGCCCCGAGTCCTTCCCTCTGCCACACTGAGGCTTCAGCTTCTACTGATGATCCCAACTCACATGAGGCAACAATCCCTGGAGCCAGTTTATGATGCCCCGGGGACAGGGCTGACCAAGGGGCGTACCCGAGTGAGGAATGGGACCATGGGCTGTGCACTTTGCTCTTCCCAGGCCCTACTGGATTTCCTTATTCCTACTCCATCCAACATGTGTGAGAATCAAGTAATTCTGTGTGTGTGTGTGCGTGCGTGGGTGTGCACTCTTCTCTACACACACACACACACACACACACACACACATACATAGACATATATCTGTGTGTGTGTTTATAGTGTCCCAAGGACCATAATGGGATCTGGGTATGTTGCTTCAGCTCTATGAAAACTCTGACCCAAAAAGCATGTCCCTTCCCCGCCTCTCCCCCTGGCCCGCCGGGGCTCCAGGGTTGGCGGGGAAAAGGCACTAAGCTGATGTCGCCTGAGCAAAAGGACGGCTGCCCCTGGACCTCCAGGAGTGAGGGTCCTGGTTCTGTGGCTCCCTACCCCCCAGCCATCCTCACGGCTGCCGAGGCCCATCTACAAATGAGGGCGAGAAACCAGTGCGTCTGCGAGAGCGAACAGGAACAGGCGAACTCCCACCGAGGCAGGGTGTGGGCAAGGCGCTGGGACACGGACACAGCTGGACGGGGTTTCGGTGACTGGGGTCCCACCATGAATCGACGGGGGAGGGGTGGGGGGCAGATGACTCACATGGCGGCTTAGCTTATCCCTTGGCCGGCCTCTCCCCGGTGACTTGACTGCTCATGACCGTCTCCCTCAAACACGGAGAAAGGAGGCGATGTGTCAGCCCGGCGCCCCTCGGCCCCCACACCCACACATCTGGCAGGGCCGAAAGAACTGCAGAAGGAGCTCCAAGTCTCCCGGGTCGTGCCTCTTCTATTACACGCAGCGGGTGCTGATAAAGGGTAGGGTCTAAGAATACTCTTTAGAGCACATCTGGCGTCGTGAAGGATGTTATTTACAAATGCTATAAATCGACGTGTCAGCTTTTCCTGCGCTATCAAAGTTTTCAAGATAAGCCAGTACGTGGAGTAACTCTCCTAAGTTAATTCAAACATGGGTACTTCTTAAGCTTAAACAGATAGTCAATTACCTGGTCACATTCTCTTCAACGTCTGGGCAGGTCAGACTCGCCCAGCTATTCCAGCGCCTGACCCTTAAAGATAAAATCTGTAACTAGTATTAAGACCTAGTTTATTGACCTAGTTTATTAGGGGGGAAAAAAAAAACATGGCATTTCGAAAACAAAGTCTGGCCTGATCATTTTATGTGTTTTGAAAAAGAATCCTTCCTTTAAGTGGCTATAAAAATTATTAGTGCAACATCAAAAATTACAAAATCTATTTTTGGCTGAATTGCATTTGCTCCTTATATGGAGAGCTCCCTGAAGGACACAGCCGAGGAGATTTAAGAAAAATATTTGCAATAAAGGCAATGATCTCGTCACATGGGCTAATATCCTTTAAGACTAAGAGGAAGCAGCCAAGGAAATTACAGAAATTACTTTTTTCTTCTAAAGCAAAGGTATAGGGCATAACTGTGCTTAACACCTAGTTGAACACGGGCAATGTGATTCAGGAGGGGATGTGAAAACAGAGGGTGAGGCCAGCAGCACTCACACAGGACACTGTTCGGCCAGACAGACCAACCGCAAGAAGGTCGCTGTGACCGTGCCTGGGTCAACCAGCTAAGAGGGAGGTGGTCTCTCGAGCACACGGTCTCCTCCAAGTGATGGCAGGGTTCCGCCGTGAGGCTGGCATGAGCCGTGAGCTACGTTCACGTGGAGAATCCGGACGGCAGCGTGAGGCCGGGCAGAGGTGTGGCCGCTCAGCGTGGGGGTTGCTGCCCCGACAAGGCACCCAGCTCACTGCCAGGGGGTCACGCACGGGGTGGGGACAAGTCGCTGCTGCGTCGTTTGTAACGTCTCCCCGCATACCAGGATCAATCAAAAAACCGCTCTGGAAACATGTTCTCTGACACCCTCTTCAAAATATTTATAAGGGTCAGCTTTATTGAAAGTGAACGCGCAGAGAGAAGGCGGCATGGAGGCGTCTCTCCGGGATCAAGCCCTGGCACAGGAAGACAAGAACGCGCCAGCAGTGGAAGTTACTTATTTTTGCTGAGGGTTCTCTGCTTCTCTGCGTGCTCCACGATCTTCTCCTCCACGTACAGACCCTTCCTCTTGCGCACCGCGTTCATGTACTTCCGGGCCTGGTTCTCGGAATCAGCCTTTTCGCCGAAGTGCAAGTACTCTTCCTCGGTAGTCGGCACCCAGAAGGGGTCGCTGGGAATGACCTTGGAAGAGAAGGGGATAAAACATGCTGGGTCAGGCAAGTGTACTTTCATTTCAGACGGTCTATCAGTCTTAGCTGAAGGACAACAGTGAAGCAATGAACAGCTTGCTAGAAATGGTGACAAGAATGAAGACTCGCAGGAGGTGGGAATGAACGGAAGTGGGATTGACAGAGCCGGTAACACACACGCCCCAGAGCCGTCACTTCACACTAAGGAACAAGGGAAACTCTTCGTTTTGAATAATGTCATAAAAAACCCCTTTCACTAGGATATATCTGGGTACTGGGGTCTTTTCCTCAGTTTTGCCTTTGTCCCAGCAAAGACCAACACACATAAGCCCCTTCTTGACGACTCAGCCTTTTGCTCCAAAACTCAGTGCTGTGCCTGGTAAGCCGGACCGCTTGGCTCACATATCTTCCCCCGACGAGAGGCAGACACAGGCAGCTCCTTCCCTCTTTCCTCTGGGCCCACGGCTGTTCGCCACCCCGCCAGCGAGGAAGACAAGCCCAGGGGCGGGCACGCTGAGGACACTTTCTCTCTGAGGCTGCCGCTGGGGGGGACGGAGGGGGCAGAGCTCAGGCAGGGGAAAGCAGCCGAGGTGGAGGGGGCTCCATCACTCTGTGATGACCAGCATCCAGGTCATGATGCCCACGAAAGTGCTGACCTTGGACACGGACTTTCCTGAGGTCCACGTCCAAGGGACTGACTTCCAGGACAGGACAGAAGGGTGGGGGGACGGTTTCCACTCCCGATGGTTTCCCTCAGGCAGAGAAAGCTCCACGAGCCCAAAACTCGTAGCCTCTCTCTGCCTCCTCAGCCCAGAATCTGACTGGTAAGTGTGAGAGGTGGAAACAGACTTGGGGAGCGTGGCCTCTTCCTCCCCCTCCACCAGAAGCTGCCCCTGGAGGCACACGGCCTGCCCTGTCCCTTTGTGCCCTTGACAGCGGCCACCCGCCCAGGGCTCCTGCCAGTCCAGCAGGTCTCCTTCTGGAGCACGGTACCCGGCGCTCAGTACCACCTGCGGTCAACACCACATTCTCCACAGTCAGCTTCACCAGCAATGAAGGTGAGAGTCTGACATTAATGTGCCTGATTCTTCTTGTTGTTTTCTCTCGTTTCTCAATTAGGGGAAGGAGGGGGTGGTATTTATTAAGTGGTCTCAAATCCTACACTTTTCAATTTAAAATACAGAAATGAAAGAAAAATGTATTTTAAAATAGTTGCTCTTCCATTTACAATTGTACCAAAAGCCCTAAGAGACCTAGGAATAAACCTAACCAAAGAGGTAAAGGAGTTTCAAAAGATCTCATTTTGTGTGGGCCTCGGACATGGCCTTCTGAAGTTTGCTCAGCTTGCTGGCCAAGACTCTAGAAACTACAGAACACTTACAAAAGAAATGGAGGAAGACACAAAGAGATGAAAAAACATTCCATGCTCATGGATTGGAAGAACAAATATTGTGAAAATGTCTATGCTACCCAGAACAATCTACACATTCCATGCAATTCCTATTAAAATACCATCGACAACTTTCACGGAGCTGGAACAAATCATCCTAAAATTTGTATGGAACCAGAAAAGACCCCGCATAGCCAGAGGAATGTTGAAAAAGAAAAGCAAAGCCGGCGGCATCACAATTCCGGACTTCCAGCTCTATTACAAAGCTGTCATCATCAAGACAGCATGGTACTGGCACAAAAACAGACACATAGATCAATGGAACAGAATAGAGAGCCCAGAAATGGACCCTCAACTCTATGGTCAACTAATCTTTGACAAAGCAGGAAAAAATGGACCAGTGGAAAAAAGACAGTCTCTTCAACAAATGGTGTTGGGAAAATTGGACAGCCACATGCAGAAGAATGAAACTGGACCATTTCCTTACACCACACACAAAAACAGACTCCAAATGGAGGAAAGACCTAAATGTGAGACAGGAGTCCATCAAAATCCTAAAGGAGAACACAGGCAACAACCTCTTCAACCTTGGCTGCAGCAACTTCTTGCTAGACATGTCTCCAAAAGGCAAGGGAGGATGGAGAGGGCACTGCAGATAGGAGGCCCCCTCCTCCCTCCCCACCCCACAGCCACACAAGCCCCCTCCTCACGGGCAAGGGGAGGCAGCTGGGAAATGGAACAGTCACCTGGGCAGCCATCCACAAAGACTGTCTACACTGCAGGAGACTAGTTTTAAGCTGGTTACTGGCGCCCTCCCCTCTCCAGCTGGACAATAAACCCATCACAGAATGTAAAGAAGCTATATGTTCTTAGCAGGTCTGAGGGGCAGTGGCGAGTAAGTTGTTAATCCTGCTAAAAAAGTGACAAATTTTATAAATAGCAAGAAATGAGCTACTAGTTGAGAGACACTAGACTCAGACCGGCCAACTTCAGACCAGAGTCCTTGTTTCAAAAATGTAAGACCAGAAGTTTCAAAAGATCTCATTTTGTGTGGGCCTCAGGCATGGCCTTCTGAGGTTTGCTCAGCTTGCTGGCCAAGACTCCAAGGCCTCCTGCACTCACCTCCGTCTGCTGGAGGCCTCCTCTGGAGACCTGCTCCAGACCACCCCTCCCGTGGGCTCAGGTGCCCACGCTATGCTGGGCCCTATAGAACAGCCTCCTCGAGGCATCAGTTCGGAAGAAAAGATGCTGTTTTTGGACCGGTTTACCCAGAATTCATCTGCCCACGGTGCGAATGGTTTTTTGCGATCCCACAGCCTGAAGGGAATGGATTTCCGAGTTCATGGGAAGGCAGGCACCCAAGAAGAAGAAGAAGAAAGAAAAGGGAAAAAGAGCCCAGAAGGAAAGAGCCTGGGGAGCTCCCTGTCAGTCCCGTGCCCAGCCACCACCAGGATTACGGCCGGCAGGTGGGAAACACTTGCTGGGCGCTGCTGTGATCCTAACAGAGTGCTCCTCACCGCGGGTGAACCCTGGCCCGCCCCGCGGGGTGGCCTCAGGGTCACGCAGCCAATCCCGAGCTCGCGCTGACACGCATGTACCCCGGCACTGGCTGGGATATTTTTCTTTCTGTGCCTGTTATTAGCTCCTTTTCTTCCTTTTTCATAGAAGGGGCAAAACATAGAAAGAGAAATTATGGGATTGCTGACTTCAAAGGTTTCCTCGTGGAAAATGCCTATAATCTTATCTCCTCTATTTTTTGAAGCACTTTCTCTCAAAAGCTCTTGATTGTAAATTATATGGTGTGATAGAACACAAATGAAAGAAAGTGCCTTGGAGTGAGAAGCCAGAGCTCAACAACTGCGTTATTTCTAAACCTAGCTATGGGGGGAAAACCAAGACAGCCAGAAACGATCAGATCAATGACATTTAATTATAACATCGTTTTCAAGACTTTCAAAGATGTGACGCTTTTGGGAAGAGGACCAGGACAGGTGGCAGGGGGATGACAGAGGACGGCACCAAATTCTTGACTATGTTCTTCTTTAAAGTTATTAAGAGACGGACTGTTAATAACAAACTAACGAAGCCAGAAAGTAATTTTTTTAAAAAACCACTATTATTAAGTATGTAAGATTTCTGGCCTTTTTTTTTTTAATTGAGAAAGGAGACTGAAAAAAAACCATCGTGGTTTTTCACATTAACAAAAACTGCCCATTCGGTAAAAACTTGATATTGTTACACTAGCTGTTCCTAAATACCCATTCTCGGATGGCACTGGCTGATAGGTGTTTCAGGAGGGCATCCTTAGGCTCGGGACGAGGGGGCTCACTTCTGTGAAGAGCCAGAGAGAAAAGAGTTCAGACGGCAGGCCGCACGGTCCCTGGGGCAACCACTCTGCTCTGTGTGAAAGCCGCCGCAGGAAACATGTACACGAGCAAGTACGGCTACAAGCCAGTGGATTTTATTTACCAAAGCAGGTCATGGGCCATACTTTGCTGACTCCTGATCTAGTCAAAGATGACCTTTCCCAACCTCCTTGTTAGGAGGGCATGATCGAATGTGACCACAGATTGGTTACGGGCAATGGGACATGTGCAAAACCCCATTCGTGTCCCTGCAGGGAGGGAGCATGCCTCCCTCTTCGTGGCTGCAATGCTGGGATGCAGGGGTACGGTGTGGGGCAGAAGCCAAGTGCTGAGAAAGGCAACAAACCAGAGGACCCCAGGCTCCTGCCCGTGAGCCCCCACCATCCCTGGCTGCCGCCCCAGATGCAAAAGAGAAACTCTGCCTTATCTGAGCCACTCTACTCTGAGATCCTTTTCACAGAACAGCCTACCTGCCTACTTGCAATTAGGAAATAATGAAAACTTGACAGATTTTTTTAAAATGCATTTTATAAATCCACTGTCAGGGTTAAGTCCGACTGTAAGGTGATGGTGTATTCTCACAAACAACAGACTATATGAATTCAAACATACAATTCCTCCAATCACGATGCCATTACACCTGCTGTGAATACCTGCTTTGGATCTTATGTGCAGAGAACCCCAGGGATCACTAACTACACTCTCTGTTCTGATCAAACACAGGATAACCCGGTCCTGTCAACAGTGTGGGTCAAGGCCATCGTCCCGCGATGGACGACTCATCATCCCTAAGATACTCCGGAGTGTGAGCTGCAGGTTCTAGAAGCAGTTTCCACAATGGTGGCACTGATAAAAAAAGTGTCACTGCTTCAAAGTGGGATGAATCCCTCTTCGGTTCTAAATATCGTTTAGCCGCACTGCCCTGTAATCACACGTCTGGTCCCTAAACCACGTGGCAGAAGACTGTCGTGATGTGTTTCATTAAGAACATCACGAAAACGTATTTACACTACAGACGTGGTTCCTCAGAAGTTGCTTTGATAAATCCACTCCTTCTATTTCTCACTGGTATGTGTTCTTATGCACAAGCTGAGTGCCAAAAACCGAAACCGAAACGGTCAAAGTGTGGATAAGGGGGAAATTACTACCCACTCCCATTCGGAAATGAGCCAATTAGGGAAAATGTTTTAGAGCTCCTGTTTTCTACATAATGAAATGTAGCAATGACATCTATTCAGATATAAACCAATAAAACCACCAAAACTTCATTTAGTTTCTAGACAAAGATACAAAATGCAAGAAAAATTTCACAATAAATCTCTGTTAGGATGAAGATTGTATTGACCAAAAAAAAAAAAAAAAGGAACGTAAGTGAGAACAACAGTAACTGTGGTTCCATTGAGCTTTAAGAATGTGAGTTCTTTTAAGGAGAAGCAGACTCACACGTGTGAGTCCTGGATTAGCAGCTTCACTTGTCTCAATTCAGGGGACAGGAACTGCCCGACTACAATCTGCCCCATCAAGTCTGTTTCTCTCAAGTGTCACCTTTCTTTACCCTGCTGATTGACTTGACTATAAAATTCATTTTAAAAAGGAGGTTCTCCCAAGGGGAACCCTCCTACACTGTTGGTGGGAATGCAAGCTGGTGCAGCCACTCTGGAAAATAATATACAGGAACTGCCCGACTACAATCTGCCCCATCAAGTCTGTTTCTCTCAAGTGTCACCTTTCTTTACTCTGCTGATTGACTTGACTATAAAATTCATTTTAAAAAGGAGGTTCTCCCAAGGGGAACCCTCCTACACTGTTGGTGGGAATGCAAGCTGGTGCAGCCACTCTGGAGAACAGCATGGAGGCTCCTCAAAAAGTTGAAAATAGAGCTACCATACGATCCACCAATTGCACTACTGGGTATTTACCCCAAAGACACAGATGTAGGGATCCGAAGGGGTACGTGCACCCCGATGTTTATAGCAGCAATGTCCACAATAGCCAAACTATGGAAAGAGCCAAGATGTCCATCAACAGATGAATGGATAAAGAAGATTTGGTATATATATACAATTGGAATATTATGCAGCCATCAAAAATAAAATGAAATCTTGCCATTTGCAATGACGTGGATGGAACTAGAGGGTATTATGCTGAGCGAAATAAGTCAATCAGAGAAAGAAGTATCATATGATCTCATTGATATCAGGAATTTGAGAAACAGGACAGCAGATCATAGGGGAAGGGAGGAAAAAATGAAATAAGACAAAAGCGGAGAGGGAGACAAACCATAAGAGACTCTTAATCTTAGGAAACAAACTGAGGGTTGCTGGAGTGGTTGGGGGCTGGGAGGGATGGGGTGGCTGGGTGATGGACATTGGGGAGGCTATGTGTTATGGTGAGCGCTGTGAATTGTGTAAGACTGATGAATCACAGACCTGTACCCCTGAAACAAATAATGCATGATATGTTAATTAAAAAAAAAAAAAAAAAAAGAGGTTCTCCCTCACTTACCACACTCCCCTTTGTGACCTGCGGTGAAACAGGACCCATCTGACTGATGGAGGTGAGAGAAATAGGGGAGGGGTTTTGGCTGGAGCGGTGCTGAAGGAAGAGCCGGGGACGGGCCACGGGGGCCGAGAGCAAGCCCAGGTGAGCGCGCACCAACGACGGCCCACAGCATCGGCCACCAGGCCACCTGCTCCACATGCTTTATCTCAGGGGGACAAACTCAGCAGGCTCCACAGTCAGCCCCAGCAAGCGGCGGAGTTGGTATCTGAAACCAGAAGTGGCCCACACCAGAGCCAACGCCCCTTCTACCAAGCCATGAACCTCCAAGGGAAAAGTGGGCGCTGTGAAGTTATTTCCATTCCCTGTAAAGTGACAACAGAAACTGCTTTCTTACACCAGCCTTTCTACTTACATCCAGTAGTTAAAAAATTCTACTCCGGACCCGAGGCCGTGACTGGACACCTAACAGCGGCTCCCGGCCTGTGACCTGCACTCGTCCCCTGCACTCCTCCCAGCCGCGCGGGCCTCTGGTCTCACCTCTACATGGGTCCCCCTTCAGGGATGCTTTAGGAAGCCTGCTCTGACCTCCCCACCCGCCCCGGGTTACTACTTTCCCTCAAGTGAAAAAAGCAATGTGCTCACGATCGCCGTCTGCAGTGTTGATTACGGATAAGGTTTGCTCTTCACCTACCTGTACCTACACTGACAGTGAGGTGTTCTCACGAGCCACTTCATCCCACAACACGCGAAAGCCAGAGAAACCCTGAGTCCCCACAACGGGGACTGCAGATGAGGTGACACAAAGGAATTGAAAGCTGTCCCTGGCAGGAAGCAGACCTGTCCCCTCTAAACACAAGTGTTTTTCCCCCGGAAGAAAAGTTCCTGAGAGTTTCACTTCCAAAATGTCTGTGATTTCCCTTTAAAAATCTATCTTCGAGTGTTGGAGAGGATGCGGAGAAAGGGGAAGCCTCTTACACTGTTGGTGGGAATGCAAGCTGGTGCAGCCACTCTGGAAAATAATATGGAGGGTCCTCAAGATGTTAAAAATAGAGCTACCCTATGACCCAGCAATTACACTCCTGGGTCTTTACCCCAAAGACATAGATGTAGTGAAAAGAAGGGCCATATGCACCCCAATGTTCATAGCAGCAATGTCCGCAATAGCCAAATTGTGGAAGGAGCCGAGATGCCTTCAACAGATGAATGGATAAAGAAGATGTGGTCCATCTATACAATGGAATATTACTCAGCCATCAGAAAGGATGAATACCCAACTTTTACATCAACATGGATGGGACTGTAGGGGATTATGCTAAGTGAAATAAGTCAAGCAGAGAAAGACAATTATCATATAGTTTCACTCATATGTGGAACATAATAGTGCGGAGGACCACAGGGGAAGGGAGGGAAAACTGAATGGGAAGAAATCAGAGAGGGAGACGAACCATGAGAGACTCTGGACTCTGGGAAACAAACTGAGGGTCACAGAAGGGAGGGGGTGGGGGATGGGGTGACTGGGTGATGGGTATTAAGGAGGGCACGTATTGGGATGAGCACTGGTGTTATATGCAACTAATGAATTGTTAAACACTACATCAAAAACTTATGATGAACTATATGCTGGCTAACTGATCATAATAAAAAAAATAAAAAAATAAAAAAAATAAAGTTGCATTCTACACAGAAAAAAAAAATCTATCTTCAAAGGGAAACATAGGATTGAATGTTCTGAGTCTTAAATTTTACATGCAGTAAAAAGAAAGAATGAATATGTGCGTGTGTGTGTGTGTATTACAGGCCACCTGTGACCCAAGGATCATTCACTCTGGACGAAAAACAGCCACACGCCTTCTCCTGCGCCACTGGTGGAGGAGAGCCCCAAGAAGGCGACCTGGCGCGGGAAGCCCTGTCTGCGCGGCCTGGTGCCGAAGGCAGGCAGCACGTGGGGACCCGAGGGGCAGGGAAGGGGATGCGGGCTGTTACCTCCCAATGGCTGAACACCAGCTGCGGGCTGGCCAGACCACTCGTCCGCTTCCTGATCTCATCCGCAAAGCCGAAACTCTCAGCGACAGGCAGCACGGCCTTGATGATGAACATGTCTGTCCCTTCTTTCATTTCTTCTTGGAGCACTCGGCCTTCTCTCTTTGACAAGACAGCATAGACCCGACCTGCAAAGCCATACCGCTTTTAAATTCATTGAGCTGCCGCGTCTAGAGCCTCACAAAGACCTGATTACTCATGCCCCCGTAACAACCCACTAGTGAGTAACTTTGTTACCAACCAGCTGGGTGTACAAAAGCATGAACACTTTTTTTTTTACGTATTTAAAAGTACAACTATAAAAAATTAGAGACATAAAGGTAACAAAAAGTGAAACCAGCCCAAGCGGCATGACCCAAAGGGCAATCCCCCCAACATCGCACGAGCAGGGGGAGACTCTGCAAAGAACCTTCTGATACAGTGTCACCCATGAGCGGTCTCTGGGCATGAAATCCAGTGAGATGAGTGTGATTGGGCTTTGTAAATATTAAAATATCTTAATAACCATGAGACGTTATTAACAGGACGGTGATAGCATAAGGCTACTTGGGCCTAGGAAGCAAGCAACTGGCACAGTGACATTTTTATATCAAAAATGAAAACTACACACATAGAGATGCGTGCTCATGTTTTTAAAAACTGCTAACATCTAAGTGGCAGAAGTATTTTATTTCCCTGAAAACGGATGGTCCTTGGCATCTTTAACATCTGATAACAATGTCTCCCGCCACATCCCAGGAACACCAGCAAATCCTCTTGGCTAAAACTCGTATTCCGTCCTTCGGCCCAAGGCTGCCTGATGCTCAGAAGGGAGAGGTCTTCCCCGGGGCTCCTGCAGGAGCACCTCGGGGCACAAGTCTTTCAACCGGTAAGCAGGACAGACTCTGCAAAGAACAGAGACCGAGCATCACACACAGCTGTGAGGAACCGGCTTGGGCCAGCAGACACTCTGATTAAAGCCTCCCATTTCACCTACCACTCAGAAAAAGTGGTTTTAAGGGTGTAACTGATCTGGGAACACCTTGTCCTTAAAGGTTTACAACGCTGTGGCTGAGCGGGGCGGTTCTCTCCTCTGAGCACCAGCATGGGCCCCGGCTCTCCCTCCCTGGGTGCCGGGGGGATGCCCTGGGGTGCCTGGCCCACCCAGAACTGCTTGTTTCCAACAAGGAACTGAGGACCCAGAGCCAGCCTTCTGACTGTGAACTTCTCCGACTCAGACTTCCCCCTGGTGGTGGGGATCAGGAAGGACCAAGGCAAACAAAAGGCAGGAGGCCCATTGCGTCATGTGGCAGCCTTAGGAATAAAAAACCCCTAAAAACTCTAATGGGTCTTTCTCAGCTCCAGGTTTAGCTGAAAAATCAAACCACAATTCTGTTAGTGCTGAACGGCACAGCCTTCCCCCTACTCTCCCCCACCACCTCCCACACTTTCTGCTCCCTTCCGTTTCCTGAGTGCTTGGATTCTCACTTGGTCAACACCTGGGCTCTATTGCTGGCCTGGGCTCAAGTGGAACTGCTCTGTTGACCTGTCACCGTCACTTTCTGATGGCAAATGTCCTTTTCCCATCCTCTCATGATTTCTGTGTAGCTGCAAAGCTACTGACCCATGCCGCTGATGGCTCTCCCCAGCGTCAGCACCGCCCCCCTCAGACCCCAGCCCTATTGGGGACAGACATCCCCCCACGACCACTCGCTGAGGCTCCGCCTCTCTGAACTCTCCCCGCGGAGACCTGATTCGTTTACCATTTGTGTGCGTTCAACACGGAGGCCAAGCCTGAGCTGCTGAGACTGTCCCTACACCCAGGCCCCCCACCCTGTCACCCTCCAGCCCCACGCTGATCACGGAGCCAGGGCACCCCCACAGTGCAAATCCAGCCTGAGATGAAACACCGTCCCTGCCCGTTGTCCACACTAGAAGTCTGTGTTACAGAAACAGAAGAGAGGGTCAGCAGGGAACGGAAGGGTCAGCAAGATCCACCAGAGAGAGATTCTGCTGGCCCTGCTCCAGCTCACCTCCTCCATGTGGTACAGGCCATGCCAGGGCCCCCCTCCCCGCTGGGCCACTCCCCAGCCCCAGATCTGCTCCCCTCTAGTTTCTGTTAGCTCCAGTTTCTATCACACGGGACAGTGTCATCCCTGTGGCACAGACCAGCCTGCAAGCTCCTCAAGGATGGCTATCTGGCTTCCTCTTCTCCGCCCCCGAACACCCCCCATCTTTCCGTGACAGGCCCTTCACTCCCTGTTCCATCCTGACCCTTTCCTATCGGCGCCACCATGACCTGCTCACCCTGCTCTTGGCATGGGGCGCCCAGAACTGAACACACCAATCTGGGTATGATCTGGAAGCTCTGAGACAAGCACAATGACAGTGTGTCTCCTAGAGGCCGTGTGTATCTGCCTGAGATTCCCAGCAGGGGAGAAAACCCTAGTACAACAGCCAGCATGTGTGAACGAGTAACCTTGACCCAGCTAGCTCATTCTAGAAAAGCTTTAGGTGGTTTGCAGAGGTAAATACGAAACAGCGGCGGGGGCGGGGGGGGGGAGATCTACTGAGTGACTGGAGCGGAGACCGCAAGGGGTGGGCCAGCGGGGATGAGCCCCAGCTGTGCTGCAGGGGCCCCAGCTCCTCCCCTTCCTTCGGGGATCATGCCAGCGGGATCGGATCAATAACTGCAATGGAGGTTGAATGTAATTAATCGTGTAATTTTGAGCCATGCAATTTTAATCCACTAAAACTAAATCCTGAAACTGGGGCACAGTGATGGATCACCGAACAGAGGAAAACAGCTATAAATAGAATCTTCCAAATACATGTGGCTTTCATGACAGGTGCGTCCAATGCCTGGACCCTCTAAACCTGCCACTGCTCTCACTGAGATGTTATGGCAGCCATACCCAGGAGGCCTTGCGAGCATTTGGCCTCTGCGAATACTCCGACTCCCCTTCAACACGATGTCTGCTCCATTATACCTCAGTCACCTGTCCCTGCGCCCAAAGATCACGTGTGCCCCGCTGTACTGCATGCGAAGCACCAAGAGGCAAGCGCCCATCAGGGGAAAAATGGCAACAAAAAGGTTAATCAATAGGGGCGCCTGGGTGGCTCAGTCGTTAAGCGTCTGCCTTCGGCTCAGGTCATGATCCCAGCGTCCTGGGATCAAGCCCCGCATCGGGCTCCCTGCTCGGCAGGAAGCCTGCTTCTGCCTCTTCCCCCTGCTCGTGCTCTCTCTCAAATAAAAAAAATGTTTTAATAAAAAAAAAAGTTAATTGATGGAAACAGGTTGGTCAGGGCTGGTCTTTGAATGACTACACCATAAACTACACCCCAGCCCAAATTCAAGGCCCTCTGCGGCTGCAGCAGCGACCCAGGACGTCCAGCTCCAGGACTGCCAGACCCAACAGCACATAGACTGAGCGTCCAGCCAAGCAGGAGTGCTCACCACGGCGGCACACATCTGAGGTCCTCCCACTCCGCGTGTGCGCGGTCCTCCAACCCCCAGCGCGCCTCATCCCACTGCATGGTCGCCTCCTTTTCATGAGTTAAAGCCCATTCAGAATCACCTGCTCCACTGAGTCTTCCATGGGATCCCGAGATCAAAACCATCTCTTCACTATCTGAACCTAATTTGCTCTTGGATGGCATTATATACTCTCGTATGTATTTTCTTCTTCTGTAACAGGGCAGCAAGACTGGTCTGTACACTCCACAATCGTTCAAGCTGGAAGTGTGGCAATTAAAGGTATGATTTTTTTTTTCAGAATTTAGGATAGGAAGCAGCTGTTCAGAGCAATGTTTTCTCTTACAGTAAATAAACAGGAAACAATGCGAATTTCCAATTTGGGGATGATGGGAAGTAAATTATAGCATAACAAGTTGATGGGATGTTATGCAGAGGTTAAAATGAAATCCGTGAATACTAAATAGCCAAATGGAAGCAGCTTATAAAATAAATAAATAAATGTAAAAAGCGAAACATCACACTCCTTCTACCATACGGTTACAGCTATGGGAAGTGTACTATTATGGACAAAGATTGTAAAACAAAGTGGAAAATGACACGCTGATTTCCAAGGAGGAAGATTTTTCTTTTATCTTGTGGTTTCTGTTATTGCTGGTAACCCTTGTGGTGTAACTTCAATTAAAACACACACGCCGAGAAATCGGTGGGCACTTCTGATTCTTATAAATCAGGTCACACTAACCCCTTTCCCTTTTGTTGCAGAGCGAGCAGACTGCTAAATCAAGCAGATGTGGTTGACAGGATGCAGATGGGCCTCCACCAAACATGAGCTCCAGTGTGTTGTGGACACGGCGGGGAATGTGGGCTCTTCTACGGAGGAACTCAGCCCCGAGTCTGCAGGAAGTGCATGTCAACAAGTTGTCCCCCACCCCCAGCAAGATGGGTCAGCACCCTGATTGCAGCTCTGTGTCCTTACGATGGTCACCAGCAACCCACGGGTTCAGAAAGCATGATGATCAAATCCAAAGTTGACAGGAGGCTGGAAGGCTAATTAATACTGGGACAGAATCAGGATAACTAGGTAAGGACCCACGCTCAACAAGACACAAGTTCCTGTGAGTAAATGCAAGGTTGCACAGTTAGCTCCAACCAACCCACCGTCCAGGGTTAGAGGGAATGCTGAGCAGAAGCTCCTATAAAACCAAGTGGAAACGAGTCCTCTCTAAGCCCCGTCGTGGTCTTCAGTGCTGTGCTATAAAGAGAGCCAATTTCACACGTACCTGCTCTAACTGCAAATTATTCCATCCATCACAGCCTGTTTCAAAGAACTATCCCTTTCAAAAAATCTACCCTGTTTCGAATTTTGCTAATCCCAATTTCTCATAAAATTTCACTGGAAGACGTATTTATTCACTGGATTCAACCGTGTTGTGCTTTGTTTCATATAATTAGGCTTTGTCACCTAACTCATCTCTCAAAGCAGGAATTATGCTTAACAGTAGGCATCTATACACGTCCATACATTTTTGTTGAAATGAATTATGAGATGCTGATGAAATGTAAAAAGAACCCCGCGTTTGGAAGAGAAGAGGTTTTTAAAAGTAAACAGTGACACTTATTGAGACTGTTTCTGATACGTTAAGGCATGTATGTTCTCACAATGTGAGCATTTGTCCCTATGGGTAAAAACATAGGGAGGACTGGAGTCGCCGATGCGTGATTAAAACTCTAGAGCTAGCAGAAAAAGTTCTTTTTCATACGTGAAGTTGTTGCCAAAGATAAAAACCATGAGGAGCCAAGAATGAAAGAAGCTGCCAGGTTAGAAGAGGGAATATAAAGACAGACAGCTGAAAAACACAAACAAATTTCACTGTCCAAAGTTAAAAGTTATAGGCGAAGGCGCCTGGGTGGCTCAGTCAGTTGAGCATCTGACTCTTGATTTCGGCTCAGGTCATGATCTCAGGGTTGTGAGACTGAGTCCAATGTCGGGCTCTGCACTGAGCATGGAGTCCACTTGAGATTCTCTCTCTCCCTCTCCCTCTGCCCCTCCTGCTCATGCTCTCTCTCAAGTAAATAAATAAAATTTTTTAAAAATCTAAAAAAAAAAGTTAAAGGCAACTTTCATGGGTAAAAAATGAGAACAGAACCACACCTTTAAGAAAGCAGAGTTTATAGGTGAAGAAGTCCATTTTCTTGGGATCATTTCCCCAGGTACAGTGATTCTGAGATGTCTATTTTTCCACAAAATGTCCTAAACTGATCATAAGTAATTCTATCCATTTACAGAAGGATTTCTTGTTTTAACGGTCTGTGTAGAAAGAATTAAGTTTTTAAAAGAGACTAAGGACACTCATTTTGCTAAATAAAAAAGACTTGAACTTGTCTTTTTACTTGTGCCAATTCCTGGAGAATTTAGAGCATCTGCCAGCAAAGCCTGGAAGATCCCTGAATATCTAGGCAAGGAAGCAAAAGGCCTTGGGAACATAGAGGTCTCCTCGTTTCTTGTTCCAGATGAAGGCGGTAATTTAGAAAAGAAGGAAAATACAGAAAGTCAGCAGCTGGCCGTACTGACCTTGGGTACTAGAACGTGGCCATCACTACCGAAGAACCTCTCAAAGCACTGAGAAAACGGACGTAAGAGGAGACCCTCACCTCTAAGCAGCTTCACACTGATGAGGACTTCATGCTAATTCAGGAGGAACAATTCCAGACCATATCGAAACACAGTTTCTTCGTAAGGTGGAGGGTGTGCAGCCAGCTAGGTTGCAGAAATGATTAAGAAGGCCGGCCAGTGGCCATGGACCAGAGGCCGTGCACTAACCAACCCACACACACAGGTGCCACATGGTGGGGTCAGAGGCCCAGCACCGTGGACTGTGCACCAGGAGCAGGCCAGGCAAAGACTGACTTTGCTCCTAAGAGAGAAGAGGACAAATAACCCTGACGATCGACATCTGTAGCCCTTCCTACAAATGCCAGAACAGAGTGGGACGGCCAGGTGGGGAGAGCCAGGATGGAGAGAAAAGGACAGGATCACAGTGATATTTCAAGGGACTGTCCTAGGGCTGCCTGGTCACGCGCAGGGTCCTGGTGGTGATTTCCTAAAGGAAATGGGAAAGCGGGCACGGAGCACTGACTCAACAGGGATGACTCAACAGTCTGCCTGGAGTGTCGGGCTGATAAATGCCAACAGCTGATCCTGGCTTCATGTGGTACGTGGGAAATTTGTCTTCTCAGAAAGCAAAGGACAAATGCCACTCCCAACGATAATGCAGGAGAGCCGGCAATTTGGGGAGGAGACGTGGGTTCCCATTACTCTCCCAGGAGGGGAGGAGAGGGAAGGACAGGCACAGATGTCCGGGGACCCCGGACTTTCAGAAGGATCATTTCAACCACATAAAGGAGAAGAAACAGAACAAGTTTTGGGATAACAAACTCTAAGATAAAACTCCTTTCAGGAGTAAGAAGAGTCTGAAATAACAACCACAAATGGTCCCAATGAGAGAAAAAGGAGGAGACATCCTCCCCATCCCCAAAACACAACAGTAGCTCCAAAATAAACCTGTTCGGTCAAGAAGGGTATACTGCTGTGTCCTCATTCTGTTCTAATAGGACACGCACAGTGGACGGAAGAAGAAAAGGTGCATCAGGAGGGCGTCCGAGGTGTTAAGCTGAGCCTGCCAAAATAAAAGGTCCAACTAATGACACCAGAAAGGGTCTTCTCCATTAGTTTCCAAGCAAGGATGAGACATGCCCACAATATGGAGAAACGTGTGCAGTGTCAATACAGAAGAGCTGGAAGGCAGAGCTTCCTGGTATGTGTGTCCTGCACTGTCCTCAGTGAGGAGAACGGGGGACAGCCTGTGGCAGGGGGAATGAACACAGGAGAACACTCGAGTTCCAGAGAGCCAAGAAGCTGATGAGCAGGTAGCTGGCCTCCTACACAGGGTCCGTCTCTGGGGCCGGAGTCTGTATCTCACGGTCCTTAAGAAACTTGTCCTTTTGAGAAATTATGGATAATCTCTGCCAACAAATGAACTTCTAGGGGGGATCAAAACTGGATTCTAGAAACTGCAGACTCTGAAGCCATATGCTAACTTCCTGCAGAGTTTTAAGAAAATATTAAAGATTTGTACATATTTATTAAAGTATGATTTAGGCCTTTGGAAATGCGTGGACTTTCTAACCCAACATCTTATCAACCTATACTTACTTCATCTACATGGTTGATACCTTGATCATCAGGGGAAATCTACAGATATGAAGGAGCTTAACTTCATCAAAACATTCAATTCACTGCTTACAGAGTTTCAGTTCTCAGTAGACAAGAAAAGACACATAAAAAAAAATGAAAAAAGAATCAGTGTGTTAAGATTGTGGTACTGGGACTTCTTTTTCTTGGCATTAAAAAAACAAACAAACAAAAAAACCTTCCTGTACTATTGTGTTTCTATATAAAACCTAAGGGAAAAAAGGAATTGTATAGATCCAGTTTACTCGTGTATAAATTCAGGAGTTCATGGGACTACGTAATTTCTATGGTCTAGTCAATCACCAAAATTTGGATTCTGCTTTCTGGGGATGAAGCGGGAAGACATAACTTACTTTAAAAAAGAAATGATGTTGATCCTGACTCCCCATGAGTCAGTGACAAGATGCAATTGCTGCTTGAAGTGGGATGCTGAGCAAGTAAAGTATGCCCTAGGGGATGGCAACGGAACAGCGGAAGGGCACCGAAGATCCCATCATGGAAACACAGCCGACGGCTCTGGAGAGTTTTCTGCCGGACGCACACTAGAGAACAAATGTGCTCCTCAGGCACGTGATGTGCCACAGCTTGTAGGAGGGAGGGATGGTGGCACACGTGGCTGGAAACTAGCAGGAGACAAGACATTTGCCCAAGAATGGCAAGACGCCACCTCGTCATGCACAGGCTGTGAGCTGCCCATCAACAGAGGTACTCGGGTTGAGGTGGCATCTGTCAGGCTCTTCTTCATGGTTCCCTGATTCTAACTCCACCTCTGCCTTCATGAATTATGGAAGTTCTTGGGGAAAGTGGAGGACATCTAGGAATGGTCCTGATTGGTTTCCTCAAACTAATCTATGCGTTCCCTGAGCTGCGAATGCTGTGCTGCATCCAAACAAGGCTGAGACACACTGTGCACTAGAGGTCACCCCCGCAGATGTTGTTCTAGCACACAAGGCTCTGAGCGGTCCCGCATCACCACGTCCGTGTGGCTGCTTAGCCCAGCTATTTCCGAAACGCTGCCGCGGACACTCCATCCCTATCCTAGGAGCCCTGCTGTGGAGGCAGGCCTGAATTTCTTTTGGGAAAAAAAACCCCAACAGTTTAGATATCTGCTTTTAGGAATAAATCAGCAAAAGAACCCTACTACTTCCTTCTTACAGGTGAAGAAAAGAAGTCTTAGTGAGAAGGACTATTTGTCAAAAGTCAAAACAGCTACTAAATGCCAGGGCTCCAAGTCTCCAGGGATCCCAGAGGATCTCCTTCTGGAGAGAGAAAAATCAAAGTAGGATTTGCTGTAATGGTCAGTGATGAATAAAGCCGCCAATAATCTTCTTCTGCAGGGACCCAGAATTTACAGAAGCCCTTTTGTGTTAGGTGTGTAAGAATGTCACCGTCCTCTTTGATCATTTCCAGAAAGGTTCTAGTTACCCAGACCGATACGGTTACTCACTTGAGAAAGAATGCCGCACAGGTTTGGGTGGTAACATGTATGGGTAGTTTACACCTCATTTGCCAGACCTCTCATTACAGAAAAGAGTCTATTTGCTGCAAATCAAAAGATCTTTGGTAATCAAGTTTCATCCCACCACCATCCCCCCTCCCCGTCATGATCATAATATTTAAGGTGCCTGGCTTTCAAAGATCTTAGTTCTTTAGTAAACTAGCTGATGACATAACTTCTGTAAAAAAAATATTAAGTGCGTTTGAGTTTTCTGACCTCAGAGACCTCACTGTCACCCCTGGCATTTCTCACTGTCTTCGCCCTTCTTACCAAGAACATCACCAGTGGCCATGATGTCACATGTGTACATGGCTGCCATCAGACGCTGAGGTTTCACCTGCAGGGCATAGCGACATGCCTCCTTCATGGTGGCGATGAGCTGTCCTGAGAAGGGTCCGTAGCAGTCAGTGAGCGAAGACTCTCCTTTCTGGGAAGTCTTCTTCTCCAAGGGCTCAGAGCCGCCGTCTTGGAGCCCCGGGTTTTCGCCTCCACCGGAACAGGCTTCCTCTTCCCCTTGGCTGTCCTGCACCACATCCCTTTGCTCTTCATTGTGTTTATCATTTGCCCCTTGTTCCTCAAATTTACTTAGGTACCATTTTTCCAAAACAAAACAGACACCCATGAGAGGCTCCTCACACATGGGGCCAGAGAGGGTTGCTAGCTGGAAACCACTCACAATGCTGTTGCCCAAATCTCGGTATCTACTGGCCTCTTTTGAAGCTTTGATGGCTGGGCCTGTCCATACTGAGTTCTGAAAGTCTTCGCTTTTATTAACTAATATGTTGGGCCCGCATTTTCTTGGGCCAAATGACCAGATTTGGTCAACAGTGTTCCTCCATTTTCTCCCTGTTAGGTATTGCTCTAGTTTTCCTTTGAATTCGCAAATTTTCTCTTGGGTCTTCTGGTGGATCATCTGAGTATGTCTGCCCTCATTCAAAGAGGATGTCAACTGCTCCATAGAACGAATCAAATCACTATTTTCTTCCAGAATCTGTGTGACTTCTTCCGGAAGGGGCATGGCTCGAACACTGAGTGTGGCAAGCTTATTGGGGGTTGTTATGGTGATGAGCCCATCAGAGTCAACTTGGATTCCTTCAGGGATTTTACTCTGATCTTCTTTTGTTTGGTGGATAACTGCAACTTTTTGTTGTTTGCCTATTTCTTCATTGACCATGTCGACTTTTGGGGGTTTTGTGATTGTCTCTCTGAATGGAATAATGGGTTCAGAAACACTGATTTGAATCTTTGCAAACCTACAGACAAATGCAAGAGAAATAACAAGGTTATAATAAACAGCATCAAAATTCCCATATAGAAATGTCACACAATGGAGATCCTGCAAAAACACAGAAACATAAAAGTGATTTTTCTAGGAAAGATCGGTACTGTAAATTATACCAGAATTCAAAGACCACTTTCATTTTGGATTGAAAGGACCACCTCTAATAGGAACATACCTTCAGGGAGTTCTTTGCATACATACGAATTTCACTGCTTTGTTCACGCTCAAAAAAAAAAAAAATAAACCATCTATTTAGATAAAAATGTTTTGCGTGGAAAGTAAGTATTTTAATAAGATCTAACATATGAATTCTTTAAAATACTATTTGCCAATTTAAGAACCTAGGGAAGACAAGCTCCATGATTATAACAAAGAATCAAGAACTTCAGGACACCTAGTCAAGTGCTGACAATGTATTTGGCTTCAATAATGAGGCTCACGGCGAGGCTAGGATGATGCAGGAGTTGTGTCTGAGCAACACTTTCCAAAAGAACTTCCTGCAGTGATGGGAGATGTTCTGTATGCACTGTGATTGCTGGGCACCTGAAATGTGGCTAGTATAATGGGGAAGCTTTAATTATTTAATTAAATTTAAACAGGCACACATAGCGACTGAGCATGTGATATGTGGCTGGTATGGCTCAGGAACTGAAGTTTTAATTTTACTTAACTTTAATGTGAAATAGCCACACGTGGTCCGTGGTTACTGTATACGGGTTTTGAACCTCGGTCCAGTACCACGTTCAGAAAGCCCCTTTTCCACATGTTATCAGGTTTAGTTTCTTTTTTTTTTTAGAAAAAAAATTTTTAAGATTTTATTTATTTATTTGAGAGAGAGAGAGTAGGGGGAGGAGCACAGGGAGAGGGACAAGCAGACTCCATACTGAGCACAAGCAGACTCCATACAAAGTCACAATGTGGGGCTTGATCCAATGACACAGAGATCATGACCTGAACCGAAACCAAGAGTCGGACGCTTAATAACGACTGAGCCATCCAGGTGCCCCTCAGGTTTAGTTTCATGCTGCATTTTCTTCCTAATGAATTATGAGTTCACAGAGGGCAGACTTGAGGAAATTGGTGTGGACTGATTGTGATGACAAGGAAACCATGCAATCTTTCTCTTATTTTCTGTCTAGTTCACTCCCAGGTAATACCAAGGCTCTGGTCTGCTCCATGTCTGCCATTGGCAGTGGGGATGGACACGTCTGAATGGACATACAAGTATGTGTGTGTTCACATGTACACTTTATATGAGATTTTGGGACAGCGGAACAGTGATTTTTTGTTACTCAGTAAGGGAACCAAATATTAAAAGTTTTTGAAATGCTTACATTTGATTCTAGATTTGTTTCTGGTTTCTGTAGAACATTCTGTGGATCTGGACAGGTATTTGGTTTATCTGATTTTATTCTTTTTGATTAAATTTGAAAACTCAGTAACTAGATGGTTTTCTAAAAAATAGCATGTTGCCAAAATTGGTAAAATTGAACCTAATTGATTTTAGAATATGGCACCTGAACAGACCATAATGTGTCGAAGAAAATAACATGAATAAACATTATTTCCAAGAAAGGTTTTGGTTTTGCCAGTAAGTGTGTTCACTTTCAAGGATTAGTGTCTCTGAATGCTGTTTCGGTTCACCGCTATTATTGTTACAGAATATACAAGATGGATGTTTTCTTGACTTTGTATTAATTTAAAATATACTCTGTGAGGGGTGCCTGAGTGGCTCAGTCGGTTAAGCAGCTGGCTCTTGATTTCGACTCAGGTCAGGATCTTAGGGTCGTGAGATCAAGCCCCGTGTTGGGCTTCACATTAATAGTGGAGCCTGCTTGGGATTCTCTTTCTCCCTCTCTCTCTAAAAAAATTTTTAAATAAATATAAAACAAATATGTGCTTTGTGAAATAGGTGATGGGGATTAAGAATACACTTACCATGATGAGCACTGGGTAATGTACAGAACTGCTGAACTACTATATTGTACACCGGAAACTAATAGAACACTGTGTATTAATTATGCTGGAATTAAAAAAAAACTTAATAAAAAAAGCACTACTTTATTCAGGGTATTGTGACTAATCACAAAAGTGATCGCTAAAGTCATCATCAACATGCCTTTGGTGCCCACTATGTACACTGGGACGTGCCCTACACATTTTTATATATTACAAATAGTAATAAAATATACTTTAATACCTGAACTTGACAAAGACAGCACACACAGATAAACCTGCAGTTCAATCTTACTTAAGAATTCAGATATAAAATCTAAAATTACAATGAGAAAAAAAGGATGTATGTGTATTTTTTCTTTTTACTAGTCACTTACTATGTATGAGACACTGTGCTAAGTGTTCTACATGCATTATATCTTTAGTATTATCCTCATTTTCTAGAGGAGAAAACCAGGTAAGAAAGATTAAGTCACACCCCCAAAGTCACAGAGCTCGTCAGTGGAGGAGCCAGGACTCAAATTTAGGTCTGACCTCAGAATCCATTCTTCTTCCGGTTATGCTATACTGAAAAATTAAACAGCACATCAAAGGAATACTTCACTGCAACACTAAGTAGCTTTTATTGCGGGGTATAAAAATTTATTTGTATTAAGAGATCTGTTAAAATAATATAGCACATTAAAAATGTCAAATAAAGTAATCCATCTATGTAACCACCTGTAAAACCGCTTAGCATTCAATAAAATTTAATACCCTTTCCTGATTTTTAAAAAAGGAAAGCATTTAGAAATCTCAGAAGTAGGAAAATATTTTTAAATTATCATTATTTTGAGAAAATATGCTCATATTCTTAGAACACTCAAGAAAATCACCTGCTGAGCTACTGAAACGGTGAGTGAATACATCTATGACATCAGCCCCCTTCCCTCGTATTGTAAGGTAAAAAGGGCTGTGCGTCTTACCAGCCCTTCAGCTTTCTGAGGGTCCCAAGAAGTTCCCTACAATAACCATTTACAAGATGAATGAAAACCACTCCACGCCATGGAAGTGGGAGTGTGCACATGACCGTCACACCTGCAAAGCACCTCAGGACCAAAGGCTCTTCAAATCCCGGGAATGCAGAGCCTGCCATTACTTCCAGAGAATGCAGGAGGCTCAGACTCCCCCAGCAACCTTCCGTGGCTTCCTGCCATCCCTGAGCACCAGCACCGGGAGATCCTGCCGTCTCTGACCAACCCTTCCATCCGTGAGATCTGGACATGAAGAACCCTGGCAGTCTCTCTGGCCGGGACGCCAAAGGCTGTCTCCTACCTCCCGTTCCTGCACGTAAGGTGGGTTTCCTGAACGTGTGTGAGAGTTGGAAAGGAAGCTTACAGGTTAGAAGGCAGGTTCTGTCCCACGAGAGCTAAAAAAAAACTCTAGAATTTCTAGAATTCTCTTCATGTAGGTATAATTGTAAAATTTTATAGGATAGGTGACAAAACAAAAATCAACTGACCCGTGACTGACCACACAGTGAACACCCACAAAAGCAGCCACTCCAGTCAACACTACGAGCCCTCAGGAGGACCCGTCAGGCCTTCCCCCGAGCCCACCCTGACTTTGACTGTAGTCCTTTCTTTAAAAGTCTTTTTATCCCCTAAACCTGTACCCCCTGCAGGCTACAGCTCAGTCTGGTCTGCTTTTGTACTGTATCTATCAACCCCATCAAACCTTGTTTCTTCAGTTGGGTTCTTTGGCTCAGTATTATGTTGTGAGATTTCTCCATGTTCGAATAGCTAGCTTGTTCAATGAGGTTACTCTACAGAATTGCATGGTAAGACTATATCATAATTTATTTATTTATCCACTATACTGTTTGAGTTGTTTCCAGTTTGGGGCTATTAATATGTCTGTTGCTATGAATATTCATGGCGCACACTTGTTAAGCTTTGTGGTAAGTATCTTTAGACTAGAAACGGGAGTAGATTTGCCAAGCCACAGAAAGTACAGGAAGTACCTACCCCCTACCTGAGTAGGTAGCATGGAATTGTATTCCAAAGTGGTTGCACCAATTCCCATTCTCACTAGTTATGTAGGTGAATTCCTACTGCCTATCTCTGCCACCATCTGATACTGTCACTTTTAAGTTTCAACCACTCTGGTGGATACATAGAGGTATCTCACTTTGGTTTTAATTTCCTTTCATTAACTAATAAGTTGAATATCTTTTCATATATTTATTAGTTTTAGGCTTCTGTTATGTAAAGCACCTGTTCAAATCTTCATTCCATTTTCTAGGATTGTTGGCTCTCATTACTTGTAGGAATTCTTTATATATTGGAGCTTTAAGTCCTTTGTTTATTATACGTTTTACAAATGTGCTCTCTAACCCCATGGCTTGCCTTCTTACTCTTCACAGTGTCTTCCAATGATTAAACTTGACTCTGTCATTCATGCTTTTTAACACCCTATTTAAGAAGCTTTGCCCTATCCCGAGGTCTCAAAGATATTCTCCTCTATTATCTTCTAGGTACTTTATGATTTTTGCCCTCCACACTTTACAACGCACCTGGAATAAATCGCTGAGTTCAGGATGAGGTAGAGGCTTTCCAGACAGAGGTCCGAGCTGCCAGAACCAAGAGCGGAGAGGCCGGTCCTCCCCACTGTTCCGGAAGCTGCCCCCCTTTATTTATTTTTTTAAGATTTTATTTATTTATTCATGAGAGACAGAGAGAGAGGCACAGGCAGGCTGTGTGTGGAGCAGGAAGCCCAATGCAGGACTCAATCCCAGGACCCTGGGATCATGACCTGAGCTGAAGGCAGACGCCTAACCTACTGAGCCACCCAGGCACCCCGTGTCCCTTACATCTGTGCTCTCTGCACGAGTCCACTCACCTGTCTATCCTTATGTCAACAGCACATAGCCGACTCCTGTAGCTTTAAAATAGGTTTTGATTTCCAGTGGAGTAAGAATTTCCACCTTGTTCTACTTTCTTAACAGGTTTTGGTCATTACTGGCCCTTTGCATTT